TGTCTTGCCTGGCATGGCAGGCACGCTTAGCAACTGTCATAAATAGTCTTTTTTCAGAATATTTCTCAGATATCATCGTGGAAACAATTCGTCCATTCACGGCTTAGGTAAGCACCACTTCTGGGAAACACGCTAGGAGAAAAACGACAGTTCAGTTGTAGATGAAAGCTGTCCTTTCCGTTAACAGCAGCCTTCGCGATGAGCTTGCAAAAAGTTCGCTGGTAGCGCGATTAGAAGCGGAAACGTTTGGGCTAGTACTTGCCAGTGAAGGGAAAAGGAGAGGGACCGTCGCAAAACGGTCTGAATAAGACCCTATTCGTGAAAAGACAGAGACGAAGAATCGATGTTGGTTTCGGGCGAGAGGCCAAACAAGCAGGAGCATGCAGGCCAGGAGGACATCAAATAATGAATCTATCAACGTGGTTCAAAGGCAAAACCCGCGACCAAATATTGTTTATAACGGAGCTTAAATATGAGCGACAAAGTACCAAGTTATTGATCAGTGGAGAAAAGAAGCAGAAAAAAAACAGTCCGAAAGTCCTTCATAGGACTTCATGCCGACACCAACTTGTACGTGCATGCAATGAAGAAAACGCATGTTTGTACGAATTTCCACTCGTCGTTATCATAAAGATATCAGCTCTTTTATCGTATCACCTCACTCTCACCATTCGGAATGGAGAGAGATAGCATAGTGGCTACTAGCTAGTAGCTAGCAGCCGGTGGGGGTCGGCATGGGCCTAAGGGGTGCCCATGGGCCTAATTAGTCAGCTTTTAGCGGAGTTCTTGCCGATTTTCACTTTTTGAAGGTAGCGCAGCCTCCGCAATCGCCTTCCGGATCGTCTGACATTTGCTGCCTACCGGATCATCTGACCGCATTTGGCAGGTCAGTATGCCCTTTAGTTTATCGGCGAAAAGTGCTTTAGCAGGTAATCTAGCGACTACTGGTGAAAAAGCGCTCGATTGCAACGATATAAGGTAGTCTTGCTCTCCTGTTGCCGAAAGAAACAAAAAAAAAGGAAAAGAACGAGTTAGCTGCTGCGCTAGACCTATTCGCGCACCCACATCGCCACTGCCTGTGTAGAGCTCAACGCCACAGCGAACACAAATGTTTCTCCAATTGAACTCGGAAAGTGGGCGAGACGCGGCAAAAGAATTGTAAACTGCGCTTCGTCGCGGCGCGGGAAAATCGCTTCCTAATTCTGCACTACCCTTTGATGGAAACATCGGTCTTTCATTCTAGACTCGGCTTCCATAGGCGGACATGAGTAGGCACGGTATGTGTATTTATGGACGATACATTGTCTATCCTCGACCAAACCACACAAAAATTCGATGCGTCCACTTAGCGGGTGCGATGTGCCTCACACGCGTCCATGGCGAACTTACGAATCTCTTGCCACATACCCGGAAAAGTGTGATCGTGTGGTGTTTACAGGTCATAAACGCGCTTGAACAGTCCTCTGCCTTATATTTCTCTGGGCGGTTCTACACAACAGCCATTTTGCTCTATGGAGGTCGGCCAGTTTCAGTCGCTGGGTTATTGTACAGGACTTCATGCTGAGCTTTGCTATCAAACGCTCCAACTGCCTCAATACGGCTTCCTACCCTCTTGTTGTGTTTTCAATACATTCTTCTTCAACACCTGTGTCCGTCAAGATGAAACGCTAGCCACAATGCTCAGTGTGGACTCCCTGAATTTCAGTCCTTTCTAAGGCCCTTTGTCTGTTCTTACCATGTACAGTGCTCTGTTACTGTGATGAATGGGCACAGAAAAACATACGTACCGAATTAGATACGGTAGTATCATACGCTTCCTATCAATCAAGTAGTAGGAAGTAATCGACAGTGAACCATTTATTTGAATAGCAGCATAATAAATGAATAATTATTAGATGAAACCAATCACGATTAAGTAACCCAATTATGAAAAATCATCACCAATAATCTAGCGAATTACAAAAAAAAGTGGAAATATTCTTTCAGGAAGGAATCGCAAGAGAAAGTTCCCCATGAATTTGGTTTTATATGACCCAGAACTTGGTTTTTTCTTAGGCGTTCATGATGGTGTCCTTTGCGACTTGTTTCGGTGGAGTGATGTTGTGCGATTTTTCGACCTAAAATTATAAAAAATCAAGGAGTTCAAGGCTGAATGCATAGTTGAATAGTTGTTGGATAGTGAGTGGGAGAGCAATGCACGGCTCATCCCCAAGGTATCGACCAGCTGAAATTCATAGTCCATTAGAAACTCGATGGGGATATCAAAGATTTTTTTCATTCCATCTAAGGTGAACTTCAGCTTAAGGGGTGGGGTCGCAGCCGATTTGTCAAAAAGGATCAGCATTACCCTCTAGAAATTCTAGGAGAAAAAGATTTTCATATTATTCACTCCTGGAACTTGTAGGGTCAAGGAAGGAAGAGGTGTAAAGCGGAAGTTCATGTTGAAGGAAGCAGCACTAGGAGAAGCGACAGAAGAAAAAAAAACTGAAAGAAAACGAATGGGTCTGATTTCGACAATGGCTTGTTCTCTCCCCTGATGGATGAGTTTCTTCATGGACATGTGCGATGGCCTAGTGGGCCTGTACTCCTTGAGGGAGTAGTGCAGTCACTACCCCTACTGACCAGGGGGCTGTAAAAGGCTGCCCCGGCCCTACTTCTTCCCCCCCCGCCCGCAGGAAAAATGAGGTAGCGCCCTTGACGTCGAGGAGGGGTAGAGTGGAGAACGACCACTTTTTCATCAACATGGCGTTCCATTATTAGGTTGGCGCTGCCTGTTATTTCGCCGCAAAACGGCGAACGAAACAAGAACATTTTGGGTTTTCTAATACCTCTATAGGATGGACCTAACTTTGACAAAGCATTAGTCCACCAAGCCCTCTTAACGTGAGGACGTTAGGGGCCCAGGAATGTAGTCCAAGACATCTAAGGCTGTGTTCATACTATGCGGCAGCGTACACCAGCGACCAGCAGCGTCCACCACCGTTCGGAGCGTTCGGCAGCTCAGCGACTAGTAAAGATAAAATATCGATTTAGCGTCTACCAGCTTCTGCCAGCGTCTACGCGTCCGGGAGCAGAGAATACGGGCTATAGGATGGTAGCAGGAGAAAAGCAGACTGCTAGTAGAGAGCATGTGGCGAAGGTACCAGCTATCTGCTACCGCCCTCCCTTATCGCCCTATACTCTTCACTTCTATGCCAAGACGTTAAGGGTCGCTGGTGAACACTGCTGGTCGCTAGTGGACGCTGCCGCAAATTTTGAACGTAGCCTAACAAGAGGTGGCATCATCCACAAATCATGCCAATGATCCTGCATTGACTCAAACATAACACTTTTGCGTCAAATCAATTGCAATCATGGCAACCTACGCCCAACTCCCTTTATAAGCCTCTAAAGCACATTTGGAAGGACGCCAAGGGTCCATCTATGGTCAACGAGCTAGCGGTTCTGGCTTGATGATATCCTGTGTCTTGGATGTCTTGAAACACGACTGTCTCTGGATATCCGAAAATAGAGAGTAGTGAGAGGGGGCGGCTGTTACAGGAATTCTTAGTACTGAGGTGACTATGGTCCAAGATGACATCAGTAGCCTTCCCGGAATCGGCATTGGAGCGTCGCACCTTACCGGTATGGAACGTTATCTGTCGACCAACTGTACAGCGAATATAGTGTTGGCAGGGAGACTGTCAATGTGGCGCAGATCTGCACCAAGTCCTAACCCAGCTCAACGTGGTCTGAAACTGCACGCTCATAGCTATATTCTCGCTAACCATAAGTCAACTTGCATAGGGTTATGCTCCACAGTGTTTCAACCAGGGGGGGGAGGGGGGGGGAGGGGGGGGGGGGGGGGGGGTGGGGGGGTTGACAGGGCGTTTCAGCATACCCTTGAGCAACCCCTCTTGAAAACACACTCTATGGTGGTTACATGGGCGGGGAGAGTTATGTACTGGCCCTGCCCTAACTACACATCTCAGAAGAGAGGTCGCCTCAACGAGTAAGACGGAATAGTTGGTCCTCTCCGCCCATACAATCAACGAGAAACGTGCCCTCAAAGCAAAAATAGCAAACCTTGCGAGCGAGACTTTGCAGAGTGACGCATACAGAGAAGAGGTCACGGCCATCGAATAGGTCCACCGATTGGAATGTCTGAAAGCGTCAGGTTCGTTGTGACAAGAATGAAGGTGCGGAATAGCATTAACAAAAATTTAAAAAATCCCAAAATTACAAACCTCCTCATCTTTCACACCAAATTTTCTGCAGGCCGATGTGAATTGATTCAAATTCTCCAGACAATTGAAATTAGATATCGGCTTCATGATCTTTTTCACGGTGCCAGCTTCGATAGCGTTCACTAATCTGAAGTAGTCGTTTTTCACCCCTATAGTAAGTCAATGCAAAGTTAATTTTTCCTGATCATGAACAAAATAAGATGCCCTGAATGAAGTCTACATTTGGCATTTGGTTCTGAGTAGTGTGAGGAATCGTGAAGCGAGCGAAAAACCTCTCCATATTCCGCCCACGCTGCCTCATCCACCAGACACACGCCTAACCGTAGCCGAACGTGCTGCTTGTCTGCGCTCTCTCATTTCTGGTTGTTCAGCACCGCTCAAGGAACCTTGATATCGAATCAAGCGCTGCAACGTGAGAATAGTGCGGGCGGAATGTGGTCTACCACTACTCTTCTCTTCAACCCAGTCCCCGTGCATCTTTTAGCGAAGAAAGGGGCATGCTTTTGCAGGGGCCGACCCATTAACCTCGCATATGGAAGCAACCGTCTATGGAGGTTACTAACAGTTTCCCTTCGAGAGCATGGTTTTTCTGAAGCAAATTTGGAAACTTCTACCGGCAGTTCGGGCTGCTCACACAGCAAAGTAGTTCTTGATTCTCCCTCCCCCCCCCCCCCCATTTTCGAGGTGAACAAGTCCGCAATTGTTGGAGTACGTGGCGCCTTCTCCAAGAAACGTACCGCTACAGCGTCTTAGCAAGCTGCGACGCCAACCAGAACGGCCATCGTATCCGCCCGCCCCTAAATGTCCGACCGATTCTGGTCTTCGCTTCATTTGCGAACAATATTATGAAGCAAAGGGTTTGATATGAAGCGACTGCAGTGCTGCATGGATATATGAGTACATACATGCAGCCGTATCTACCGTAGCGGTTACTGGCACGATGCCAACGGGAAACTCGTCCGAAATTGCTCCCCAGTCGTGTAGAACAAAGGTTTTTTTGCAGCTTTTTGGCCGTTACACTCCGCTTTTTCGCCCTTTTCCCACACTGTAGCACCCCTACTAACACTTTAGACCGAGTACCAAATATCGTGCCTTATATCTTCAATAACCTCGGGACAGGGACAAACAAAAACGTCACCGAGTTAGCCAACGGCAAACCTCCCCCCCCCCCCCTCGGCCCAGAAGACTCAAGAGCCGTGGAGAACAACTGTGCTCCTGTCAAGCGAGAGAGGGTGCGAACTTTTGGCCAGGCTAGACAGTCGCGCGACGCATTGCATGACAGTGGCGTGATGTCGACACATAGAAGAACATTCGCGACTTCCCCGTTCATTTCCATGCCTTGGGCGTGAAGGGGCCTGTTCCCTTCAGGAAAGCCTCATGCTTCAGGGGTGATCGCCCAGTGTATGTTCAAGGGCATTGTAATCCCTTTTAAAGATGTTATACAGGTGGGTCCGTAAAAAATAAGTGCTAATTCAGGGCACTCGAGCTTGAGCACAACATCGGCTATGATTATGCGTTTTGAAGCTCGTTAATTCAGGTGTCGAATATAAGATTCTGGCGCAGTTCGGCGACAGAGTAGGGGCATTTAGCACATTCACGACTTCCCTTTGTCGTGTCGAGCTATCAAGTAGTGGCGTGATACCATTCGAAGTTAGTAGAAACCGCTCGTCAACTCTGATTAAGAATACCTGTCAATTCTGGTAAAGCAATGAACACTTCGATGGAAAGCAGCGAAATTGCAGAGTGCCCCCCCCCGTCGCCGAACTGCTCAGATTGTTTTGATGTAATCACGTGAAGTTGGAAGTGGGAGAAACGGTAACTCACTTGCAGAGCCTTTGTCCATCGCGCAACTGTTCGCGGAAATTGTCTCGACTGCCGGAGGTGTCGAAATCTTCACCGATCAATCCCTAAAATATTCATAAAATAAAGCCGTCAGGGCCAACGTCTCCGCAGTAATAATTTCCTTCTGCTGTCTGAGCGACCATATCTATCTTGGAGTGTAAGGATCCCTTGCACAACAGTCGTCATTAGTCTAAATCGGTTCCAAAAAACGCTAAGAATCTGAATGAAATAAGGTGCATGGCACAGCCCAAGAGATGGCTGTGAACCTGTCCACCTCCCAGAAAACGTGCAGTGTACCCTTAAACGCACGTGCTCTCCCGAATTTATTATGAGAACGTATCGCTGTGGCCATAACCCCAAAGGATGGTCGCGACTGGTGCCGCCAGATGTTACTTATTGTCAGCAGAACGAGCAAATTAGACGCTCGCAACTGTACACATTACAACACGCCAGTCCTCACTTTGTGGCAACTTTAAAGCAATCCACGCCATTCAAACGGTGACCATCAGAGCGATTATAAGAACCCGCAATGTACCTAATGACCCTCCAATGGGGCGCGGTTCGGCGGGGGGGGGGGGGGCACTTAGCAGTTTTGCACACACAGTTCTTCACAAGAGCTCACAGGTTTTGCCAGAGTGAGACTTGTAAACCGAACTTGTGAAGCAGTGAAAGTGCAACGTGCCCCCTTCTTACCCAATAATGCCCAAATAGGCTCTCACCTCACTCAACGAGAACCTCCACTTTACATCTCAACTCCTCACAAAGCTGCGCTGATTCAACGATACGCTCATAGCTTGTGTTTCTGAAGCTGGGCGTTTTGACGGAAAAGCGCGGTAGGAGTGGGGATTCGAAGGAGCGAGTCGACGCATGCTGTATTGCGGACAGGGCGCGTTGTACGTCTGGAATTCCCGCGGAGGGAGTTTTACTTATTTGATCGCTGGTGGGACAGGGATCTAGTTCCTATTGATTCTTCCGTTTCCCGCTTTTCCGCTGTTTCAAATGCGCTACATACCGCTCCCCCCCACCCCTCCAGACGACAGCAGTCTCTCGGGAAGAAGAAAGTGGAGGAATTTTTGGAAAAAGAACTCCGCAAAACTGGCAGGAAGACGGGAAAATTCAAGAGGGACCGGTATGGGAAAGGGAATTTCATCAGGGGAGGAAGAGAGAGAAGAGCGCTCCAATATAGAGCTGTTCAGAACTTTCAAATACAGCGATGTGTACAGGTTGTACGCCCTCCCCTCCCCCCAAGCTCAGGGCTACATCGTCGCATAGCAGACATCCATTTCTTCAG